GGGACAGTGTCCGCAGCTCTGCCGGCAGAGAGTCTGGGCAGAGCACCGCACCAGGACGTGCCACCAGCTCCATGCCGGCAAAGAGGGACCGGCTGCCGGATGGCACCGTGGCCCCCGCCCGACTCCTTGCTGTGCTTGCTGCCTCCTGCTCGCAGGGACAGGCTGGCATCACGGCATCAGGCTGCCCGTGGGTCTCCGCTTCCACCCCTGGCTCCTCGCTGCGGGCCGGCGCGGCCATGGGGAGCTGGGCTGCGCTCAGCGGGGTGAGGATGCTGTCGCCTGCCAGGGGTGGGATGTCTGTCAGCAGGTCCCCGGTGCACGGGGCTGAGCCCACAGTGAGGGCAGAGGGGTCCGAGTGCGGGCGTGCGCTCTTCGGGGAGGGCTGGCCTCTGCAGAGAGCCTCGAACTGCCGCAGGATCTGGGAGGAGAAGAGTGGGACGGGCAGGAGTGAGAGCAGCATCAGGGAGGGGGTTCGGCCCTGGAACCTTTTCCCAGTGCTGGGGATCAGGCCCCATGTCCCCTCCCAGGGTTCAGCCTTGTCTCCTGGGGAGGGAGCGTCACACCCCCCAGGCTCCCCACTCCTGGGAGAGGCAGACAATTCCCACCCCTCTGGGACACGCGCGGAACCATTCCCAAGAGCTGTTTGTCCCCGAGGACAGGCAGGCCAGTCCCCAGGAGCCCCCTGCCCCAGGGAGAGGACACAGGCATGTCCCAAGAATCACCTTTGTTGCTCGGTTGGCGATGGGGCCGGGGCTGCCTTGGCTGAGCTGCTGCAGGTGCTGCCGAGTCACGGCAAAGATCTGGTCCAGGGAGAGCAGGTCAGAGCACATGAGGGAGGAGATGGCACACATGGATCTCTGCGGGGAGGAGAGCATGGCTGAGCCTGGCAGGCAGGACAGGCATCGAAACGCCCCAGCTCGGTGGCACTTCTTCCCCTCGGTCCCTCCACTCTGTGCTTCCACTGTTGTGGGCGGCACCATGGGCACATGCCGGCGGCGCACCGGGACTGCCCCATGCTCACCATGCGGACGCTGTCACTGGGGTCCTCCAGCGCGCGGCTGAGCAGCTCCAGCACCACCTCGCAGTTCAGCAGCCCGCACCTGGCACCAAGGGGAAGGAGTTATAGCCGCATCGGCCACACACAGCACCCCAAGCCCCAGGAGCCGGCAGCCCTCCTGCCTGGCAGCCTTTTGGCCCCAGAGGTCCTGGCCAAGACAGCCAGGGGGGTGCAAAGAGCTCAGGCTGCCCCTTGAAGCCCCCACAGAGCTCCCTGCCCGGCCCCGCAGCACCCACGGTCCCAGGGAGCATCTGCCCCGGGCACTTACTCCTTGACGAAGTGCTGTGCTTCCTCCCTGGTAAGGAAGACCCTGGCGCCGTGAGTCAGTGCTGACACCAGGCTCACCTCTCGCACACAGTCACCCAGGCTGTCTGCATCCACCCTGCTCAGGGAGATGCCTCGGTGGGGACAGAGGATAGCCCTGCTCCCCCCTGGAGCCCCAGTGCAGACCCCACCACCCTCTGGGGGGCAGGGGCTCCCTCCCAAATCAAGTCCCCTGCCCGTGGCTCTGCCCACCCATGGGCTGCCCGGGCTGGGAGGCCAAACATCCCAGGAGGAATCCAGCCCAGCAGCACCAAAGGACTCAAATTAATGGTGTGGAGAACGAGGGCACCATTTCTGGAGATGAGGGAAGCATCTCAGAAGGTCCCAGGGGAAGAAAAGCCCTTGGGGGAAGAGAAGCCTCCGAGGGCCCCATTCTCACCTCTCGGCCATGTGGGTCAGCTCCCGGCTGGCCCCGGAGTGGCTGTCGCTGCCCGATTTGCTGCAGGAGTCCGAGGGGCGGCTCAACTCGCCGTTCCCCTGTGAGGAGTCCTGGGAGCTGTGCCCGCTGTCCGCCTCCTCCCAGCCGCCCCCAGCCAGCCCCGGCTGGTGGCTCACTGCAGGGACAGCAGCAGTGAGGTGCTGCCCCCTAAACCAGACCCAGTACTTCGTGGGGACCCCCGCCAGGCCCCCCAGCAGCTAACGGCCACCCCAGCCCAGTGGTGGGGGGACCTACCTCGTGTGCTGTGCGCTGTGGTGGCCGCTGGTGGCTTCACAGCCCCGGCCGGGCTCCTGGTGGGAGAGGGGGCTCTCACGGGCTGGTAGGCGTCCTCATGGAGCTCCCTGCGGTGAGGCCGGGACCCCTCCGGGGAGGGGAGAGCAGCATGGGCCACCGCTTCGGCCGCTCGCTGGATGGTGCTGAGCAGGGCTTCCCCCGTCGAAGCTGGGGAAAGGTGAGGGTGTCAGGCGCTTCCCAGGGAGCCCAGTCCTGGGCACCCACCACCTCGCAGGGAGTCATGAGGGGACAGCAGGGACCTGCTAGCAGAGAGGAGTGGCCCTGGCAGCCAGGCTCCAGGCACACTCTGGAGCTGGCAAAACCTGGGAGCTACTGGGACAGGCCACGGGGCACAAGGCAGATTCCCACCTCCCTGTTACACCTGCCAGCAGGGAAGGACCTGGCAGAGCCCCCTCCTGCCAGCCCCGCGGCCATGCCACCAGCCCCAGCACCTTTCAGATGGCTCAGGAAAGGGGAGAGCTGCAAAGGTTGCAGCGGTCTCTGCTCTGAGCCACCCAGAAACACCCGCCAAGAGAGCTGGCAACCAGGTTACATGTCTCCGAACACTGGGAACCTGGTCTAACCCCAGGCAGGACGCCCAGGGCTGAGGCGCCACTGCACGTAGGCAGGGCAGTGCTGAGCAGGGGACCCATGCGGGGTGAGGGGCAGCACCAGGCGAGGGCATACCCAGAACTTACCGGAACTGCTTTTCTCACGACTGAAGCCAAATCCTTGCAAGGAGCCACAGGGGCTGGGGCTGGAGCCCATGCCTGGGGGAGGCACAAGGCACGTTCAGAGGGAGCACAGGCATTAGGGGTCCTCCTCCACTGCTCTTCCTCCCCCTTGGAAGCACAGGGGACTGCATGGGGCAGCCAGGAAGAGCTGGGGTGCAGGGCAGGGCACTTACAGGACAATACCTCAGGGGGAAGCTAAGGGCAGCCTGTCCTGTCCTTCTGCTCCCACGAGCACATTTTTCCCTCTGACACAGTACCCTGCAGCCTGCTCTGGCCAGAGCCGCCGTACATCCCCAGCGAGCAGAGCTGGGCCCCGCAGCGAGGCAGGGGAAGCAGCCAGGCACCCGTCACTGGGGCCTGTGGCAACCTGCCCTCACCCCCAACAACTCCCCTAGCCAGCAGACCCTCTGCACACCCACAGCTCCAGCCAAAGGGACCATTCCAGCATGGCCCATGGGAGGTGACAGGGCCGTGAAGGGGTATGCACTTACCCGTGGGAGGCAGGGGACGGGCAGGCAGCGCGGCAGGCTGGGGAAGCGGCGCATCTGAAAAGAGAACGCTGGCCAAGTCCTGCCAGGAGAGACAGGGGTGTGGGCAGAGAGCTGGGGAGCACTGGGCATTCTGGCCAGGCTCCGAGGTGGATGCTGGGAGGCAGGGCCCAAATAGTCCACCCAGCACAGGGGTAACAGGGCCAGCACTCACCTGTGCGGCCACCCGGACCTTCTGGTTCAAACTGTTGCCGTGGAGGGGGTCTGGGGGCCCAGAGAACACTGCAAGGCACAAGGTCGGGAGGGCTGGGGGATGCTCGGCTCCCGGGCATGAAGCAGGATGGGGCAGGACCAGCGCTGGGCCTCTGGAGCAGCCCTCACAGCCAGGCTCGGTTCTCCAGCGCCACACAGGACCACTCCCCGTCCTCCTGCCCCAGCTCCCCCACACCTCACCCCGTTACCTGCTGCCTCCCGGATGAAGCAGGCGTTCCTCTTCAGCTGCAGGATGAACTGGGGGGAGCCCTGGGCGCAAGTGTGCAGCAGGATCTTCAGCACCTACAGACAGAGGGCTTGGGGTGAGAAGGCCGAGTCGCCGCTGCCCTGACGGCCCACAGCCCCACGGCAATACCCATCACCCCGGCGCCGGGGCTCCTCCGCGGCTGGGGGGGTGCCAC